GGTGGGGGGAGGGGTGGGTGGGTGGGGGTGCGGGGGGGGGGCTAATTTAGGGAGAGGAAGGGGGTGGGGGTAGACTGTGGGGGTAGGTGGCTGTGTATCAGCCCACCGATCAGCTCATCGGTGGGCCAGTAGGCAGAATCAAAAAAACCATAGGATGGCTTTTTAAAGAAAATTCATATGGGGACTAATAAAAACAGGGAAATATTTGTCAATCCGAATTTGTCAGGACTTAAAATTTGAAGAATACAGGTTGACAAATATATGACAAATTGGCTATATTCGTTGAAAAAAAAAACGATCTGTTTTTATATTTGTCCCCATCTCTAGTCAGGAGTCTAATTAGCAGCTGTGCCTCTTGGGAGAAGATCTGACTGTGTAGCCTTGGACAAGTCACACGCTCATGAGTGACACAGGAGGGACTGGGAAACCACCTCAGACTGCTTTCTATGTGGAAAATCCTGGGAGAAGTTGCCATATGTCAGAATTGACTTGGTGGCAAGTAATTACCGTATTTTTCGCTCTATAAGACGCACCTTTCCATAAGACGCACCAATTTTTTAGAAGAAGAAAACAGGAAAATATAATCTGTTTTCTTCGCTCCATAAGACACACAGACTTTCCACCCCTCTGTTTTGTGGAAAAAAAGTGCGTCTTATGGTGCAAAAAATACGGTAATTAGTAATTAAGAAAGCAGAGAAACAGTGCTACCGCTATTTAACACTCCCTGGCCAGGGGAGCAGGATTTGAGACGATCCCCAGAAAATGACAGACAAGCTCCAGGCTTACTTAAAAGGAGACATATTTATTGGGTAGCTTACAACACAGAGATGCACCCAGACGTTCAAGCATCCATTGAGTAATGCAGTCTTTATACACTTTTAGCTATATACACTAAGTTGCAGCTTACTGTGTTATGCTTTGAAGGATGATACTGGCATGTGAACTACTCCTATACCAATATCTCACCGTAATAAGCTCACATATGCACAGCTGAAATAAGTAAGCATCTTTGTGGCATATGTCTCTGCCTCCAGCTCCCTTTGTGTCCCTAAAACTTAATGCAGCTTGCCTGTCCTTTGTCTGTCTCTGAATTGTGGGAACATTGCAACATTCAGGCTACACAACATGGAAGACAAACAGCTCCTCTCAATATGGGGTACAACATTCTCTGTGAGACCTTTTTCACACTTGGAATGTATTATTATTATTAGCAGTAGTAGTAGTAGTAGTTTTATTTATATGCTGCATTTCTCCCAAAAAGGGACCCAAGGCGTCTCACACCATTAAAATTCACACAGTTTAAAAACACAATAAGTTAAATATTAAAAGATAAATTAAACAATATATTATGTAAAATACAATTAAAAGATTAAAACATGAAAACACAAAAAAGAATAAAATGTATGTGGGTATTGGGTGAAGACATTTTAATATTGCATGGCAAGAAGGAATAAAACTTGACCCAGATCTGCACACATAACCACTTCACTGTAAGCATAAGCTGGTTAGAAAATAAATAGTGTGAGATGTACTCAGAGGTATGGTCAATCAAATAAATTCAAATATAGAGACTTTACATTTACGTATCTCTTACTGTCCTGTTAAGAAGCAAGTAGCATGTAAGCTAGGAATGATGAGAGATGCCATTCAACATGTTTGAAGGGCACCAGGTTGGAAAAGGCTGCATTGGGTCATTGCTTGTCTCTCTTTAATAGAGATTTAATTATTTAAAAATTGCATATGCCACAGCAGAGCTTCTAAGGCAGGTTGCGGGCAATCCAACAAGGATGTGTGTGTGTAGGAGAATCTGTGGTAGTTATCAGTGGTACCTTAAAAATTGTGGGAGTGTATTCCAGCTCAGGCAGGAAGGAGTTCATTCCTCCCCCTCCCCTTCCCCTCCTTGAACCCTAGTGGGAAGGAATCTATTGTATCATATTAAGAGCTAGGGTTGCACAATTACAGAGGTGGAGCATCGCATGACTGGAAAAGTTTCTGGGGGTGGCTGTCTCTTTCTTCTTCCAGGTCTTGGTCTCCACAAACTGAGAAAGATATCAGTAAGCTCTCAGCTCCCCCTTCTGTCATGGAGCATAGAATTCCTTCTTTCCAAAACCAAGGGGGGAAATACATAAAAAGGCGTAACTGAAAGGATAATAGTGTTCATTCCAGACAGTCTTCCCTGTGCATAGGGGATTAGATCATAAATACAATGATTGTGAAGTACAGTAGTATAATATTCCATGATTTTGACTCTTTATTAAATTTACAGTGTGTGTTGCTTCATACAATCAAAAGTAGTCTCAAAGTAAATTGGCAAAATAATGAAATGCAAAAGTACAAGATGTAGTAACATCATCATTCCAACCATGCACATTTACAAAAGGATCTGCCTGAAAGAGTCTATAAACATTTAGTGTGTTTTTGTCTTGAGGTTATGTATATTTTTTTAATGTTCGCAGTTGTACCCTTCAGCAGCTGGAGTTGATGGACTGTTTAAAAACAAAGCAGAGCAAATTAAAGCAAAAGAAAAGCTTCACAAAATGAGAGACCATTCAAGAAATAAAGCTAAGAGAAGCCGTAAAAGGAGAAAGGTGAAGATTAACCAAAAACGGTAAGAAATGTGAAGTTTAAATTTAACTGAATAGAAAAAATATTTGCTTTGCGTGTGTTAACATTCAAAAACTTTATAAGATGACAAACATCACCCATATTTTGTGTTTGCTGCTTCTTTATTTTTTTAAAAAAAACAGCAATATACTATGTTATGTGCCATAAAATCACTTCCAACTGATGGTGTTTCTGTGAACCAGTAAGCTCAGTAAGTTCAATACCTGGCTATAGATCCAGAGTTCAGGAGTTCAGTTCTTCACTGTGCCTCCTAGGAAAAGAAGAGCTGGTCTGTGTAACCTTGGGCATGTGGGTACAGCCCCAGAACATCCTCAGAAGAAGGGATTGATAAACAACTTCTGCGCATTTTATACTCAGGATCATCATAACAAACAAAGCAAATAATTCAGAATCAACTTCATTACATATAAGGAAATAATGATCTACAAAAGATCTGCAAGGTCAGAAGACCTGCAGTCGTAAGATCGAATCCACGCAACGGAGTGAGCCCCCGTCGCTTGTCCAGCTCCCGCCAACCTAGCAGTTTGAAAGCATGCAAAATGCGAGTAGATAAATAGGTACCACCACGGTGGGAAGGTAACGGCGTTCCATGTTTAGTTGCGCTGGCCACTTGACCACGGATGATTGTCTGCGGACAAATGCTAGCTCTATGGGTTGGAAACGGAGATGAGCACTGCCCCCTACAGTTGAACACAACTGGACAAGTTGTCAAGGGGAACCTTTACCTTTAAAGGTATTGTAAATTAAAGGCTGGGATTCCTTTGTTGAGTCAGTCCCTCTTATGTGAAGTCTTCCTTACTGCCTCCGAATGTTCCTAGCATTATTGTATTTTCCAGGGCATAATCGGTTCCCTTTAGTCGTTTGAATCTCTTGTGAGAATTCTGGCTTGATTTGTCTTACACCAACTTATTCTTTTTGGCAGCTTGCAGCATCCATAAATCTTTCATCCAACACCATCCTTCAAATGAGATAGTGCTATTGTAATAGTAATAGTACTAGTAGTGCAAGTAATCATCATTCTCTTTATTAATACCTAAAACACAATGTTCTTTTTATTTGTGATTATTCATATTTTTCTCCCTGTGAGTTTGCTCTCTTTTTAGGTAAAGGTAAAGGTTCCCCTTGACAATTTTTGTCCAGTCGTGTTCGACTCTAGGGGGCGGTGCTCATCCCCGTTTCCAAGCCATAGAGCCAGCGTTTTGTCCGAAGACCATCTTCCGTGGTCACATGGCCAGTGCGACTTAGACACGGAACGCTGTTACCTTCCCACCAAGGTGGTCCCTATTGATCTACTTGCATTTTGATTATTCATTCTCCCTGTGAGTTTGCTCTCTTTTTATGAACCAGAAAATGACTTGCATGTTAAAAGGAGAGAAAATAGAAAACCGAGGGCACAAGATAAGGGCTAAAGCAGGGAGCAAAGAATGGATATCATCTGAAATACAGGAGGGACTACTGTTTCCCTTTATGACTTCTCAGTGTTGACTTGATAAATCCTGGGATTTGATAAGTATTGTTTTCATCTCATTATTATCTCCTTTAATGTTCACATAAAAGCTGCTGCAAAATACAATTGTGGATGTCATTGTGAAGCCTTTATCTGTAGTAGCATCTTCCTCTGAAGTATCTGAGTGGACCAAGTGACAAATTTGCCATTTGTGACATGGTTTAGAAACCACACAAAGCTCTAAGAATAAAATTAAGCCAGTTGATTTTTAAATAAGCATTTGCTTCTTGAACTTTACTGACCGAAGACAAAAAATACAGATTTTGCTACTGAAAGATATGAAAGGAGGAATAAGGGGACCACATTTTTACTTAGAGAAGATCTAAGTGTTTACTTTCTCTCAAATAGGAGGTGAATGCATCGTCAATTACAATGGAATTTGATCCACCTATAAAATGAATTAATTCATAGCCCCCCCTTTTCTTTTCTTTTTTCCATGATGTACAAGGCTGAATTGAATGGGTCCAGCCTTTTTCCTGCCAAACCATTTTTACTCTCTGCCAATACCCTTTCCCCCAAAAAATAAGACATAACCTGAAAATAAGTCCTAGTATGATTTTTCAGGATGCTCATAATGTAAGCTCTACCCCAAAAATAAACCCTAGTTAAGTGAAACCCCACCCTCCACCCTTGTGCAGCAACCAGAAGACGAGGACATGACTGTATTTGAATACATGTACATGAAAAAAATAAGCATCCCCTGAAAATAAGCCCTACTGTGTTTTTTTGGAGCAAAAATTAATACAAGACACTGACTTATTTTTGGGGAAACACGGTATAAAGGGCTGAAACTTTTTTCATGCCTGGAAGTTACGATCAGGTGTTGTTGTAAAGACGGGGGCATGTCTGTAGCCACCAGTGTTCACCTCTCTTCTCCCAAGCCACTTGGGATCCCCAGAAAGAAAGCCTGGCTGAGAGCCAGGGAATTGCTGCCCGGCTTGTTTGCAAACAGTGGTACATTTTTGTGCAGGCACATATCCATTCTGTGCGTCTCCCTGAACCATTTCAAGAAACACTTGCAACTCTTGTCCTTCCCTAAACCCACAACATCCTGGCATCCAGACAACAGTTCAGTGGAGGTTTCTTACTTTCCAAGCCATAATCACTTGGGCAAACTGCTTAATGTTAGATTTTGTGAATCTTTGTAAATTCAGATTATTCTAATTATGTCTAAAATGTTAACATTTTACAGGTATGCTTCAGGGAAAGTAGTTTTTTTAGAGGTGAATGCTAAGATGGGGTGTAACAATATCCAGTGAACACCTCCCCACCATGCTCTCTTCTCTCCGTGGTAGTCCTGATTTTATAATTTCTATTTTATTGCATTTGGCTTTAGTGCTGGATCATCTCTGCATGTATACATTTTTAAAGGGGCAGGAAAAAGAAAACAAGCAAGTTGAAATGAAAGAGGATGCCATTTAATTTATGCATTTGAAAACCAAGTTGCTTTAACAACAAACCATAAAAGGAAAGGTGGAACTAGAGGGAGGAAGGAAAGAAGGGGGGGGTTGCGGGCTGGAATGCCAGTTGCAATGTGTCCAGTGCGAAAATTGAAAAAAAAAAAAAAGCAAACGTTCCACAGCCCCTGTGAAAACCCTGAGGATGATTTAAATGCAATACAGGCTTTGAAGTAATGCCAAGTCCTTCTGATTCAGCGTTCCAGTGTAGACATACGCCCATAGAATATGTCTTAGGATTTTAGAACCCTGAGCAGCTAAATTCAAGTATGAGTTGATTAGGTGTAATGCTATGGGTTGTTTCACTGGAACACAGGATTTTTATTTTACTGAGGCAAAATGTGTTGAGGCTTAATCTTCAGGGTGATTGAACCATTACAGCTCCATCCCCAAATAAAAACATACAGTTTTTGTTTGTGGGGAAATGTGCAGAAATCCAGGGTGAACGAGTGGTGGTAGGGAAGAAAAATCAGATTCGACAGGCCTAGCATCCATATGGCTATTTGAAAAATTAGATGACATTTTTAGTGTTGAATATTGCATCTAGCCAGAGCTAACTTGTATACAGTATTCTAATTGCACATAACTGATAAGTTTTCTTTATTCCACCTTGCTATTTTCAAATTTTATGTTCCTTTAATATGTTCTGCTGCCCTTCTAATGATCAGAAATAGGTTTTTAAGGGTATAAATTCATGGCAACTAAAAATTATTTTATATAGCAACTAAAAGCTCGTAGGTTCCATATAAGGATCTAGTAAATGACATAATCTGTAGAAATAAGGTTTTCCATTGTTTCTTGGTGTATGTCTTGCACTGTTATGTTTTGCAGACAACCTGTTTGTAGCCTTACTGTGGCATTCTGTCCCTATGTAAAAACTGATTTTTAGCCTGAGGGGCTAAAGCTGGATCAAGGTCCTGGTAATCAGACGTGGGGAAAGTTAGGAGACTTTAAATCTATGCTTCCTGCCTGTAGTTTGCTCTGAAGGAATTTCTGAATAGGACAGGTCACATTTCAGTGAGAGGGACACTTACTGATCCAGGCAATAGACCACATAATAGAATTCATATTGATAAAATGTGATGCAAAAATTTCTCCTAAAGCAGAGGTCCCCAACCCCCGGTCTGCGGCCCAGTGCTGGTCCGTGGCCTAAGCTGGGCCAGGCCACGGAGACAGACATCCATCCCCCACATAGCTGATTTGTGCATGTGTGTGCGCTCCAGCGCGCCTATGTGAGCACTGCACTGCCATTTGCACATGCACATGTGTGCTCATTCATGCATGCATATGAGCGCGGGGGGTGCCCCACCTTCCCCAGCCTCTCCACAGAGTGAAAAAGGTTGGGGACCCTTGTCCTAAAGGATCCAAGGCAGCTTACAATATTAAAAGAAACAAAGTTAAAAGCTAAATTATAAATTATTACAATATTTAAAAAAGTATTGAACAGATATATTAAAAGCTCACAAATAGTGCAATATTAAAAGCTCAAGTAAAAAAAAAAAAGCCCTTAAAAAAAACCCTTTGTAAACCAGTCATTTCAAGGAAAGTCTGCCTGAAGAGAAAGGCCTTTCCCTGCTTGTGGAAGGACGGCAAAGATGGGGTCAGCATTGCAACCTGTGGGGGAGAGACTTCCAGAGTCTCGCTGCAGAAACAGAGAAGGCCCTCTCCTGTGTCCCCACCAAAACACACCTGTGATAGTGGTGGGACCACAAGAAAGGCCTCCCCTGATGATCATAACATCCAGGCAGGCTCATAAAGGTAGACAGAGGCCTTGAGATAGCTAGAACCTAAGCTGTTTAGAGCTTTATAGGTTATAAGCAGCATTTTGACTTGTGCTTGGAAATGGATTGGCAGACACTGGAGCTTATGTGATTCCTATGATCAGCCCCTGTTAGCAATCTGGACCCACTGAACTTTCTGAAGGCAGCCCCACATAGAGTATATTACAGTAGTCCAGCTGAGATGTAACTAAGGCATGTTCATCGTGGCCAGATCAGACCTCTCAAGGAATGGGTTACAGCTGGCAGATAGAAAGGAGAGAGAGATTTGGGTGCCGTCATCATACTGGCGGCACTGAACTGCAAAACTCCAGACAACCCCTTTCAGTGGTTTCATGTAGATGTTAAATAGGATAGGAGATAAAACAGTACCACGAGGGATGCCACAGGCCAAAGTGTTGAACAGGAGTCCCCCAACATCCCCTTCTGAGTTCTGCCCTCCAGGAAGAATCGGAAGCACTGTAAAACAAAGCCTCTAAGTCCCGTCCCAGAATGACAGCCCAGAAGGATGTCGTAGTCGATGTCATCGAAAGTCACCAAGAGATCCAGCATAACTAACAGGGATACACTTGCCCTGTCCAGTTCTGGGTATAGGTCATCCATTAAAGCAATTAAAGCAGTCTTCGTTCTATAACCAGGCCTGAAGCCAGATTGAAATGGATCTAAATAACCTGTCTCATCCAAGAACCCCAGGTGCTGAGAAGCCACAACTAGCTCTAGCCCAGTAATTATCCGTGGGATCCAAGGACGTTTTTTTTTTCAACTATGGTCTTATTGCTGCCCTCATGAATTCCACAAATAGACTCCATAAACATTCGTAACTGTTAAATTTATGGCCAAAATCCTACTGAGATTTTATGCTAGCATAATTCAAATAGCACAACTTTTGGAAGCATGTTGTCACAAGTTAAGAAATCACTGTCTCCTTCACATGCTGAGTTGCAGAGGTCAGTACAAAACATATGTCACAGTGGCTAAAATCCTGTTTGTGCTGCTAGACCATCAGCCTTAGACAATGGATGAAATCCTGTTGCATAGTAAGTTGCGCTGGCATAGACCCATGGAATCAATGGGGATGTGGTGAGTCAGTTTAACTGGACTGAATTCTAAAACAGGCAAACTAGAGTAAGCCTATTTGAATCAATTGAACTTACAGAGGAACTAACTCACCACATCCTCATTGATTCAGCGGGCCTATTCTAGTTTGACTTACTACACTAAGCAACTGGATTTCAGCTGGTGATTTCTCAGCTTGCCACAAGTAGCCTCCAGAAGTTATGACATTTGCATTATTTTCGCAGGCATTAATGACAGGATTTTGGCCTGTCAGGTCTTGATTGGGACAACTGACCCCCCTAGGAGTCCTATCGGATTTACAGCCCTCCCAGGCAAAGGGAACAGATTATATGATTCGTCACAGCTGACATTATCCCAGTAAAGGGTTAATACCAGAATGAAACCAAATAATCAATCACGAGCTGTTTGTAAACTCATGTGGGTTTGTAATTATAAGTGTCTTCACTGTTGCAGTAATTCCAGGTCACTCCGGAACTTGTAAATTCTATGCAAGTTCTAGTTACATCATTTCTACGTTCCATGCTTAAAAGTAGCAAAGTCAAAAATCTCTCCAAGATAGCCAAAAAGTTATGAAGAAAAACTGTAGGTATATATGGTTAATTCCAAAAGTCATGCAGACATGCAAAAATAATAGGTTTAAAATATTTTAAAATCCATGAAAACTGAACTTAAGCTTTGTTGAACAAACAGTTGGGTCAGAAAAGACATCAGTTGCATGCTTACAGCTGTGCAGAATCCAAACAAGGACTTAGACATGTTTGAATCAAAAATACAAAAGCATTAAAACACAGGAATGCATAGGCTATTAAGAAGAAAATCAGAAAAAGCAAAAAGCCTTATAGTTTTCAGTGACAGGCATGGAAAAGTGATTAAACTTTTAAAAGTAAAAAATATACAAAATTAAAAAGCATTACTTGGCTCTAAACATGTTAATACACAGACAAATATTTTCTCTAGAAGAGAAAAGCTCACCACAGCCTTTATGTTATTCCCATGTCTATCTTGGCTGCTCTCGGGCCATATGCATCTTCCCATTTGTTTGCAAAAAGCAGTTGGCCTTGTTTCTTGGAAGATGTCTCTTTGAGATGTCCTCACTCCCTTTGAGATGTTCCGTAAACATAATAGGGGTCTCTATTTAAATACTGTTGATGTTTTGGGTCAAAACATCATGACACAGAGCTTTAGCTCTCTCAGAAACATGAATCTTCAAAGGATTGGGTTGCCTTGGGTAAGCAATATCAGCCTGTCCAGACAGCTGTGTGTCAACTCAGCTAGGATATGTGTCAGGTAGTAGCCAAGGTGACTCCTAGTTTGGGAAAATGCCTCCATCTGGAGTACTTCCTTAATACCATATTTGGGCAGTGCATCCTGAATTACTGTTACATGCCTTTACTTTTAAAATGTTTCATACATAAATATTACAGAATACCATCTAGCCAGAGCTAACTTGTATACAGTATTCTAATTGCACATAACTGATAAGTTTTCTTTATTCCACCTTGCTATTTTCAAATTTTATGTTCCTTTAATATGTTCTGCTGCCCTTCTAATGATCAGAAATAGTTCATACTCCTCATTGTTATCACACTACATTTAGGAATTACAGTATTAGTTATTTGTTATGAGGCTGAAAGCATATAAAACAAACTTTTGTTTTTCTTCTTGCTTATCAGGAAGCAAACTACTTAAAATAACATTTATCTTTTTTTCTCCTTTTACACCATTCTATAAAAGCTTCTTCTGTTTTACAATATATGGCTGTTCTCATTTGTTCTACACAGATTTCCACATCTATTTCTTTGTTGAGTTTCATTCTATAGACAAAATATCTGTGAAGATTCTCTATAGGCAAATGTAACGCAAACAGTAAAATAAACTTCACTTCTTTTTTTCTGTTATTGTCCACAGAACATAAGCATCATTGCTTACTTTTTCATGAAACTCAATGAACTTGATTCTTCCACCTTATTAGTTCTTTGTGTACGGGAACAAATAGCCATGTTTTGTTTTTATTTCCAGCTATAGCTTTTCAATAATGCATTCACTTTTAAGGCACCTCTCTGAGGCACAATTTAAAAGGACTTTTAAAGTTTTAGGGCAACACTTTTGCATCCCATTCAAATTATATATATATTTTCCCACCACATGTTCCTATTTTAAAAATCCATATTTGCCAGGCCAGTTTTTTTTAATTGTAGGATTTGTATACAAACCGTGTCTGCACAGTTGTAAGCCAAACATTTGACTGAAGTTACTGTATATCAGGAATCCCCTACCAGCTCTCCTCAGACTGAAGAAGCTACTTGGATGAGTAGCAAAATGTTTCAACCTCATAAGAATTAATTCCAGTTACCTTGACTCAACTTCCAGATAACCTCACCTGGATGACTGAGAATCTTCACAGATATATTTTTGTAATTTTCTCTATCATACTAAGCAGAAATAAGACACAGGAAAAGAATGATTCTGTTTCGACCCTAAAGGAGATGGAAAATTAAAAAAAAACAGAGATAATACATTTGTTTTACACTATAGATCTAAAGGGAATTACGGACACAGATGTACTCTGCTGAAAACCAAACAGCCAAGCAAGCCGCGCTGGACAAGTGCCAGGGTCCTGGAAGCTCCCAGTTCCCGTTCACCTAATAGCCATGAACACTGCCCGAAATGCCTTTGTTCTCCAGCAGCTTTTCAAGGTAAGATTGGAATTCTGTTTCATATTGAGAAAAAAAAATGATCTAGCAGAATGGCACCTAGATCATATGGACTCCATGGGCTTTTTGTAGAGCTCAATTGCTGAACAACCGTATCTGTATAGTGCATGTAGCTGACAGAATTACCTAGTTTGGGCCATGTTCACACAAACTGTTACTTCCATTGACAAATATTTTTGATGTTCTTTTATCTCCCGAAAATCACTCCTTTATTTTATTGCTTTTTGCTAATACAGTAATTCTGTGAAAGACTAATCCACTCAAGGTGTTGTTGTTTTTTCTTAAATGTAAGAAAATGAACACAAATCTTTGGGCTGTAATTCAGCACACGTTCATTTGGGAGTTAAATCAGAATAAATTTGGTAGGGCTTAATTTTGAGTAGACGTGCTTTGTATTATGCTGTCCATCTTACACCTGTTAGTGAAATCTTATACATGAATTGTTTTCACTGGGGCTTATTTTGTATTACATGTATTTAGGCGTGGGAGCTATGTATGAAGAACAGTTGGTAATCAGAATGGATCACAGTATACAAAGGCACCAAATTTTAAAGGCTTTGCATATGTTAGGAAAAAATATTTTTGTGTTGCTGTCGCTGTGTTTCGGAATTCTTGTTCTGCATCCCTGGGAAGTATCATATTCCTGCAGGAGGGGGGGATGTAAGCAGAATTGTTTTGGCAGGCCTTTGGATAGCAGTAAACTGCTGTTCTACTATTTATGTGGTAAGCATTTATTATATAATAATAACTATAATATGAAATTATCCAGAGGACTTTAATTTTTTTCCATTTTTACCATTTATGTGAAATGTTTTATTTTAATTTTATTAAATTTTGATGTACAACATTCTGAGTCTCTTACAACAGAAGAGCAGCGTGTAAATGAAAATAGAGTAAGAATGAGGGAAGGCCCAAAATATATTGTGCTGAGAAAGGCATTGTCACTTTGGACAAAAAGTTGGATCGGGATTTGAGAGGTGTAGATCTTTATCCCCACTGATGACAGTAGGTGACATGTAGCTTGGATGAATAGGTGGTTTGGCTAATCATTTTATCTACCTCAAGGTGAGTTTGGCAGGGGAGCCAGGCATATTGCCTTTACTTTGTTGGAGGAAAGGAGAGATGTAAATGCAACCTATAAATGAAAGTATGACCAGCAGGTCCCTCACACCTAAAAAATTGTATATTGTTGTCTTCTGGTGCTAAAGGCTACCCCTGTACCCTCACTGAGTAGCTTCATCACCTTCATCTCTAAATTGATAGTAGCAATTAATAAATCTAGTTGGTTTATAAGAAAGATTTTTAGGGTACAGTGAACACAAGTTAAGCTTAGGAAACTACATTCTTAATCCCAATCAACAAGAGCATTTCTAAATCCCACTTGATGCAGTTGAAAGGTGTTGAGTATATTGATTTTTAGCCCGCTTCTTTAAATAAAAAAATACGTAGAATTGCTAAAATCATTCTGTCTGACTGAGGAGGAAAACAAAAAATTTAAACTGCATAGATGTCTGGTGCTAAAAGATATGAAGACTGTTTCATGAGTGCCTTCATAGAATATTAAATTTGAATGTAATGGGTATTTTGATTCTTAAAACTCCTTTAAGCCATATATATGGTGCATGTGTTCAGATGCATTGTATATACCATCTGTCTCTGAGCTGAAGTGGAGACTTGGATTACTTTCTGTTTCGGCACAGCCTTTCCCTTTTTCTAGATCTTCTTAATCATCTCATTTTGTCTCCTTGGCATTAGTTTCCTTGGAGACTTAAATTAGCGACTGGTACAGTGTGAGCTCGTTTTTCTAGTTTGGATATCTACCACACCAAGCTTTCATATTGCTGTAGGGTAGAAGCCAGCATAAATGTGTGTACCACACTCTATAATTCCATCTCTTTGTTGTTCAGATAGCTTTATACAGTAATTCAGGCAATTATATATATATATATATTGACATCTTTTTATATCATAAGGATAGGAAAATATACTGTAAGTTAGAGAAATAAGTAGCAGGTAGACGTTATCCTTTGTTGGTTCATTTTGGTCAGTAGTTCCATAATGTTAAGAAAAAAAAGATGCTAATAGAGGCAACAATACATTATTTGGCTACTTTTTATCTGTGCCTTACTCCTTTAGAATGTTCCATTATTTTTCTTCCATTTCTAATCCAGTTGCAATGGGGTCAATATCCAGACATTGCAGCAGTTGGTCTTTTTTCTTCAGAACACCGGACATGTGTAGTTTTTCTTACGGGGGATTTTCCCACGTCCTGTTTTTAAAATTTCTTCTAACTAATCTTTCATAATTAAAATTTGATAAAAAATAAAACAAAACATTTGTTTTTGATGTCCTTTTCATATCAGACATACTTAAAGCAAGGTTCTCCTAGCACTGATTTGATGCTGTGAGTATGGAGTACCTATGGCTGTAGGAAGATTTAGACAGGTATCAACATTTGCTTCTGATATTTTCATAAAGGCAATCAGGTTGGTATCCTGTCAGCATCTGGATATTGTATTAATGTATAGCGGTTTTATATTGTTACTGCTCCACTCTGTTATCAGCTTATTTCTTCAGAAAAGTTATGTTAAGGAAGACATAGAGAAAATGACTCCTTTCAGTTTGTTTTGGATTCAGAATGTTTTCTTTGGTCGATTTATAGCCATTTCTCAAGGAAGCCACAGTATTGGTATTTATAGTCATAATATGAAATTGGCTGTAACATGCAGATAGGAATGTTGGAACTGGACACACAAACTCATTTAGATCTTTGTTGAGGCCTGAAGTTCAGGGGGTATTCTTGGGAAGTCATGCCTGTTAGCCTAGACAGCTTCACAGGGTTGGTAAAATAGATTGTTATAGTCAAACATATTGGCCAAAATCCTACTGTTTCAAGTAGTAAAGCACACTAGAGTAGGTCAGTCGAATTAGTGGAGATTTAATGAGATAACTCTTCCATTTGTTCCATTGATTCAAGTGGGCTTACTGCAACTATAACTTAATATGCTAAAGTAAGTTACATATAGAATAGCCCCATTTGAATCACTGGAATTTACAGAGGAATTGATTCCAAATCCTCATTGAGTCAGTGGGCCATTTACTATTCTAAGCAACAGAATTTTGGCAATTGAGTCCTTGGTCATCAGTTTCTATGAATCAAACCTAAACAGAAACCGTGGCACTTGCCCAACTCTCACAATAGATGGAAAAAGAAAATCAGTAAAGTCGCACAATCAAACTAAAGCAAGTTATGTTGGTGTTTTCTTCCCAAACAGGAAATGGTGAAAATGGTGAAAATCCACAGGAGGCTTCTTATGTCGTTAATGAAAAGGCATCCTCCCCTGTGAAAGAGGATAAGATGAAAGAAGTAAGGAGTGACTGTGAAAGAGCATTTGATAACTCCAATAACTTTAGCTCAAACTAATAATCTGAATGGACGAGTAGCTGATTTATTAGTCACTTATCAAGGAACAGTATTAAAAACCCAAATCTAAAAAACCCAAGAGGTTGTTCATATTTTTGAGCTAGTGAATGTCAAAGACCTTCTGTAATATAACGTATTTGCCGGCCTACAAGATGACTTTCTGGCCCTGAAAAACATGCCTCCAGGTGGGGGTTCGTCTTGTATGCCAGGTGCATGTCCAGCAAACCCTCCCTCTCCCAGCGAAGTCACTTACCTGGTAGTAAGACCGAGTAGAGCCCCGCTCCTAGCCTGGGAACAGCCTGACTCTAGCGCCGAACAGCTGACTGTCGGAACAGCAGAGAGGCGGCAGCCATTTTGAGATGCGACCACATGGCTGCCGCCTCTCCAAAATGCTGCCGCCTCTCCAAAATGGCTGCCGCCTCTCTGCTGTTCCTTCTTCCAGCAAACCCTGGCTCTCTCCGAAAAGGAACCAAAATGAGCAAAAGGAACTCTCCCCATGATGCAGCCAAAGCAGAATCACGCATGCGGAAGAGGGGGTAGTCTTATACAACAAGTATATAACAAACTCTACATTCTGAATGGGAATGTTGGGGGGTGGTCTTATACACCCAGTCGCCTTATACACCGGCAAATACAGTAGACTAATAAGTACCTTGCAAATTAGGATTATGTTAGGAAGAGCTTGGAAGGATAAGATTCAAAGTCAAGGGAGAAGATCCAGAGCACAGTTGAATAGCAGACAGATTCTTAAGCAGTTTGTGAACTTCACAGGATTGGTATGAGGCTGAGGAACAGAGTGGCGAGATTCAATGGTAAAGAGGTAGAGAAACACCTAATTAATATGTAAAATTACATACCAGTCTGTATAGAACATTTTATAAGCTCCTGAATTGAAAAAAAGCAAAGAAACACATTAGCAAAGTCACACATGAGCTGTCCAGCAGCTTAGTTTGATATGCATACTGCCTATTATACTGCAGGCAGTAATGATAGCATTCCCCTGTATACTGGACTTTAAGAACATAAGAAAGATCCATATACATTAAAAGTACCATTTAATTTTTACAATTGTTAAAATTGTTTTGGATATTAAAGTGTTATAGTGGCGAATTAATAATTTATTTCCTTTTCCATGTCTGGTAGGATGTTCCTAGATCTGCAAGTGAGCATGGAAGTGGCAACCTCTTTCTTCAAAGAATTTCTGCGGTTCCAAATATGCCAATACCAAAGTATTCCTGCCCATTGGCCAGTAATGCGCCAGCACAAAAAGCAGGCCACCAAGAGATTTGTTCCTTAGAAACATGGCAGAAAGAGCAACAGCCAAATATGAATTCTGACCACCTTTGGCCTTCTGTTGGGACTTGTAATTATGAACATATCAATACAAACAAGAGCCATCCATATTACACTATGAATTTGCAGCCTACAGATCCTATTTCTCTGGGTTCAAAATCAGACTGCAATAAGGTGGAATCAAAGCATCAACACTTTACTATCCTAGAGCCATCTGTCCCCATCATGGGAGCAAGAGAGCAGCCCACAGATGGGGATGTATATCTGTCTTCAAAAAATGAACACACTCCCTCTGAACAAAGTCTGTGTTCTGTTTCACTCAGATCAAGGATGCTGACTGAGACATCAGTTTCAAATAAAGCTTTACCTAAGTCAAGACATGTTCAGGAGACACAGAGCTCTCTTAGTTGTACAGACAAAAATAAGTACTCCAGGAAGCCATACAGTAGCCACGAAAAGCTTCTTAAACCTGAAAATCCTACTTTCAAAACCTCCTCTACTTGTGTCGCTAGCCTTGGACCACAATGCAGATCTTCCCAAAGCATGGAAATGACAAACAAACAAACATATGTGGAGTATGACAACACAAGCAGCAGTGATGATGAAGACAGACTGGTTATAGAAATATAACAAATAGACTACACTGAAGTTTCACCATGGAACAGAATGAGCTGAATTAGCATTTAGGCTTAATCAGTCATCGGTCTGCTTTTTGGTCACAAATTAGAGCAGAAAAGCCATTCATGCCCTCAAGTACTGCATAGCGTTGCCAAGGATGTTCATTTATTTACATGTTAATGGTTTCCTTGCAGAATACATCATGCGGAAGGCTGGACTGGATGAAACGCAAGCCGGAATTAAGATTGCCGGAAGAAATATCAACAACCTCCGATATGCAGATGATACCACTCTGATGGCAGAAAGTGAGGAGGAATTAAAGAACCTTGTAATGAGAGTGAAAGAGGAGAGTGCAAAAAACGGTCTGAAACTCAACATCAAAAAAACTAAGATCATGGCCACTGGTCCCATCACCACCTGGGAAATAGAAGGGGAAGATATGGAGGCAGTGACAGATTTTATTTTCCTGGGCTCCATGATCACTGCAGATGGAGACAGCAGACACGAAATTAAAAGACGCCTGCTTCTTGGGAGGAATCTTGACAGCATGTTAAAAAGCAGAGACATCACCTTGCCAACAAAAGTCAGAATAGTCGAAGCTATGGTTTTTCCTGTTGTGATGTATGGAAGTGAGAGCTGGACCATAAAGAAAGCAGACCGCCGAAGAATTGATGCCTTTGAATTGTGGTGCTGGAGGAGGCTCTTGAGAATCCCCTGGACTGCAAGGAGAACAAACCTATCAGTTCTAAAGGAAATCAACCCTGAGTGCTCAGTGGATGGACAGATCCTGAAGCTGAGGCTCCAGGACTTTGGCCATCTCATGAGAAGAAAAGAGTCCTTGGAAAAAACCTTGATGTTAGGAAGGTGTGACGGCAAGAGGAGAAGGGGACGACCGAGGATGAGATGGCTGGACAGTGTCTGCGAAGCAACCAACATGAATTTGACACAACTCCGGGAGGCAATGGAAGATTGGAGGGCCTGGCGTGCTCTGGTCCATGGGGTCACGAAGAGTCGAACACGACTAAACGACTAAACACAATGGTTTCCTTGAAGCAAGATATCACTTGGTCATGTTGAAATGCCCCCCCAAAATGGGATTACTGTAGTTTCTTGCTTCGCCAAGTTTCTTTGCAAGTTTTGTCCCATCAGTCTCTCTTACTCGTGCCCCTGAAGACACATCTGATGAACAGGAACTGTTATAATTTGAAGATTGACATTGAAGAAACAACTCTGCCTTGACCTCAAAGAGGCAATTATTCTCAGCTGTTTAGTACTGCTTGTCTTCTGAAACTTTTTTTCTTACTATCAAAGTTTTGCATGAGGTTACGATCTTAAGACATCATACACCGTTTTTGTACTGCACATATTCCGTGCTCCCTGGTAAGAAACAACAGAAGCATGGCCTGCTTTGTGTTTTGTGCCTTTTCTACTGTGGTATTTCCTCACTCTTCTGATAGCAGTGTCACTATCCATATTTTGAGGATTCTGTCATTTATGATAAAATAAGGAAGATGTTTGATTTTGTTTCTTGCCACAAATGAAAGTGATTGGTTTGCAAACCAAAGTGTGAATATATGGAAAACAAAATACTTTCTTGGTTTTCTATCAAGTGTTTTTTAAAGGGGTTGCACTAATGTAACCGTAAAATACCTTGAAGAGGAGCAAAATGTTCAGACATTTTGCTCATGTAAGATTTATTTTGCATTTCTTTGAAAATTTGCTACAATGCTAATTTGGAAGTGTTGCTCGTCTTTATTATATTGAAGTTTTATATTTCACCTTTTGTGTAAGGTTTTGGAATACTTTTTCATGCTGTATTTCAAGCAAATGAAACATTTGTGTGATACTTGTAATTAACCTTTTCTTTGACTGGGACAGATTGTAAAACTGATATTGTAAGCACTTTTAATCAGGATGGTGTCCAGATGTGAAAAGATAATTAAAAAAACAAACCCATATACTGAACCCAGAAACAAAGCAGCAGCTCATTGTCTTGCTGAGCATTTAACAATAATATGTAGTGATGAAGAGCCTTCTAATTCTCTCTCTGAAGCATCAAATGCTGACATACACAGTCTGCAGCTGGGATACCTATCTATTTGTGCAGCTTCTCTGTGCAGTTTAGAATACTGGATCGGTAGAACTAGCATACCTATGCCCATTCTGTCCACATTATAAACATTTAAATAGGGCTATCAGACTTTGTGTCTATTTATTAACTGGCCTTTGGCCAGATGGATGGTATAAAAATGTTATATAATGTTAGACAGCCTAGAATGCACCATGGCACACAGAAACAGTGAGCTTAATTGAACAAATGGAAAATGGATAGGTGATCGGCTGCAACATACCTCCTGTTCATTTGTCACCTCCTGTTCATTTCTAAGAGACTTTCTAGATGTTTTAATGAGTTTTACATAAAGCTCACAGCCTCCCTTTTTATCTCTATGAAACTCTCTACTTGTTACAATGCTGCAGTAATTGTGACAGTTGCTCATGGTACCATAAGCTAGACAATTATTTTGTTTTTTGGTGTGCATGTTTTCCTTTCAAAATGGAACAGCTAATTCAAATCTGCTGTTTTATCCTAGGATAGCAAGGCACTGTTATGGTTGGAGTAAAATCCATTTCTTGTCCGGCTTTTGTTACTTGATGGTAGTGATAGATAAGAAACAGAATTATGGCTAGCCAGCAGGGGTGTGGAGGGGGAAAACTTGGTTTGTTTTCATTTTTGGGGGGTGGGGTGGCTTTCATTTTTGGGTCCCTGCTCTTTTAGTAAACCCGAAAAGACCCAAATCCTCCATGTACATTGGCTTTCCTCATTCATGTCTAGGATGATGGACCAAGTTAAACGGTACCAAACCCTCAAAACTAACCCCCGCCCCAAGCCAGGCAAGACAAGTAATCTACAATGGTGCCCTGCTTTACGACGACCCCACAGCACGACGAAATCGCTTGACGATTACTTTTTTGTGATCGCTATAGCGATTGCAAAACAATGGTTCCTATGGGTTTTTTTCGCTTTACGTCGATTAGGTCCCTGCTTTGGGACCTATTTTTTCGCTAGACGACAATCTTTCCAGCTGATCGTCGGGTTTCTAAAATGGCCTCCCGCTGTTTTCCGACCCTTGCTTCGGAAGGCAGCGATTAAAAACAGCTGATCGGCACTCTCAAAATGGCTGCCCTATGGAGGATCTTCACAGGATGATCAGGTATTTTCCCCATTGGAACGCATTAACCAGTTTTCAATGCATTCCAATGGGGATTTTTTTTGCGTCACGACGATTTCGCTGTACAGCAATTTTGATGGACTAGATTATCATCGTCATGTGGGGCACCACTGTACATTCCAAAGTAGGCAACACAACAGTTCCTGAGAAACCAGAATCAACATCAGACTTGTAAAAAATCAAGTTCTGTTCTTTGGAAATCTTGCTCCTCTCCTCCGATTTCCAAGATTTCACAGATGTAACGTAGTTTACTCTTCCACCCTAATCCTGTTTTGTGTTAGAAGCAGATCCTTTTGTCTGTACCCATGCGTGTGGCTCATAGTCATACTGCTAGGCACTTGGGGCCAGCCTGTGGCCAAAGAAGCATGCTGATGCTGCCTGCTTGGTTGTCTAGACAACAGAGGCTGGCAAAGTTAGAGACAAAAAACTGGGGGCAGGGAGACCATGGACTCCAATCTGCAGCTCAGTTGCTATGGCAGTGGAGTTTCACTGTGCAGATGGCTCCCAGTAGTAATGTAAGGAAAAGAACCTTGCAGAGCTTTCTGACAGGCATTTAAAGCCAAAATACCACCCTTTAGTTCTGGTAGGGCACGTATGGAAAAGGCACGAGGACCTGCTGAAACCACTCCTTTCTGAAAGTGAATTGTGAGGGAAAAGCAGCTCCACAGCACTGCTGCCACACATTTGGGCACTATGTTGTTGTTTAGTCGTTAAGTCATTTCCACTCTTCGTGATCCCATGGACCAGAGCATGCCAGGCCCTCTTGTCTTCCACTGCCTCCCGGAGATGGGTCAAATTCATGTTGGTCGCTTCGATGACACTGTCCAACCATTTCATCCTCTGTCGCCCCCTTCTCCTCCTGCCTTCACACTTTCCTAACATCGGGGTCTTTTCCAAGGAGTCTTCAATTCTGTATATCCATGTTATAATAATGTATAAAGCTGAGGTTATGAGGGAATGCATACTTCAGATACTAGAATTAGCCTTTTCTCTCATTTGTTTATTAAAACAAGAAAACATACAGCTGATAAAAGGTTTATTTAAACATAAGTATAAACAGAAATCCTTATGCCACTAGCACACAGGCTCCACCAACTTCTTTTATTTTTTCTTCTGCCTTTCTGCTGAAGAATTTTGCTTTCACAATTACAGGCTGTTTGGGCAGTTTCCCCTTGCCCAGGACTTTATAATATCCCTGAAAAGATACAAATAATTCAAGCAAATTAGTCAATCAGTTCAGACGTTTGTGCAACTAACATTATTCTGGAGGATCTCTTCCCCCTCTCCCTCCCCAATTACAGAAAGTTACATGTAAAGTGCTTGTCAGTAACAATTTCTGCCATATGAGAACTGGTGTTTAATCCTCTTCCTAAGCCTATAGGATATAAACTGCAAAAATAATGTGTAGAATGGCACACATAAAGTCATGAGCTTGATACATCATGTTTTAAAAATCATAGAAGCATTTGTCAAATATTGACAATGCATTTTTAAAAACTGCTCTGTACAAGGCTGCAGTAAAACACACAGAAGAACTGGAGTTTACTGTAGTTCTGTATACAATATACGAGACAACCATCTTGCAGTCTTTGTCCTGTCTCTTTGTACGTTATACATAAGGTAAAGATAAAAGGTTCCCCTTGACATTTAGTCCAGTCGTGTCCGACTCTAGGGTGCGGTGCCATCCCCGTCTCCAAGCCGTAGCCAGCGTTTTGTCTGTAGACAGTTTCCATGGTCACATGGCCAGCGTGACTAGATTAACTCGCAGCACCACCACGTTCCCTATGTATATATGTTATATACAAAAGTTATCTGCGGTTTCAGGCATCCATAGTAAATCATGGAACTGATCCCCCATCGATATGGGGTCCTACTGTACTGACAGTTATCTGAACACATACAGTTTGTACCACCAAGGCAAAAAACTCAGGTTTCTATCGGTATACGCCAGTAATTCTACACTACATAGTCTCTACAAACGAAGTCTGACCAAATTTGCAAAAAGGACACAGTCCAAATAGTCAACATACTATATCCCTGAGCAAGTGTTGTGATTGTGTGTATACTGAATGCAATCTCTATACTAGGGTTAAAAAGCTGAAAGCATGCATGGTTATGTAACTTCTACAAAGGCTCCCAGAACTGACATTTAAGAAAATGGTTTATAACCTATTGTTTCTATCAATTCTCATTGTTACCAATAAGGTGATACTACCCTGTTATGTATCCGAAGAACTGTGCTCTGGCACTCTGCACTGCATTTTTAAAGTGCTTGATGTTGCACCACAAAGAGGTACAACAGAAATGTACATAGTATTCTGAAGTTAATATGGCCATCATCCCAATCTATTAACAGCAGTGGTTTTTCTTCAGTAATATCAAGAGTTCTCAAGGTCATGTTCCAGATGTTCTGTGTTACAAACTTAATGTCACTAATATTGATGGACTGCAGAAGACTTGAGATCACAGCCATCTGTAACTGGAATTTCTCTTCGAGAAACAAAGCACATCATAACAATCAAGTGTGTTATGATACTGCGCTAATCTCGTTTAAAACAGTATTTCACATTTCATTCAGCCCATATCTGTACCTTAAATATATAGCCAGTCTACACCAGTCATGGCGAACCTATAGCATGCATGTCACAGGTGGCACACGGAGCCCTTTCTGCCAGCACACAAGCCATATAGGGGGCTGACGGGAAGACCTATGGGCTGGGTGTCTAAGGAGGATGGGGGGAAGGGAAAGGGGATGTACTG